GGGATTTTAATCGGATTAAAATTGAAAAAATAGCCGTTATTGTTGACTTTTATTAGACGAGTGGGACCCAATAATGGTTATATTTTCAATTTTAATTGGATTAAAATCCCTCCCAAACAAACTCTAAATGTAATTGAATTAATGAGAACAAAGATTCTTGTAAAAGAGAAACGCATAGGATTTTTCATCTACATTGTGAATTTGAATATTCTGTTAGGAGGACGTGAAAGATACTTGGTGGTTTTTGTGTCATTGGGCTTATAGAAAACTCCTACTTTTAAATTCTATTGGTTGTGCTTCATGAAAAGAAAGTAGTGAAACTTGAATCAAAGATAAAAATTCTAAGGATTTTGAATGTTTCCGTTGTTCTAGAGAAGATGAAATCCCATCAGAACACTCGAGAGAAGTGAAAAACACAACTTCAGTAAAGCACTTTCTATCACCAAATAAATTTCATGATGAACAGATACACGCAATGGTTAATTAAAGAAGAATAATGCGTGAATTTTCATTTCGTTTTTAAATTTTAAGGTAAGTGCTCGACGGAATCAATTACTTAAGATTATAAAGTTGATTAAAAAGTCGAGACTTGGTGGTCAAAAATCCTAGGTTACTGCAGTAAGCACTTTCTTCTCTTCTCATTACCAATAGTCGTATACCGAGGACGTAATGTTTTGATCATGTTCAGAGAAATGGAAAGTCTGTAACAGTTACCATTTCAGGTAAGATATTTCACATTATTTTGGATCCACAAACTGATTAAGCATNNNTTGGATCCACAAACTGATTAAGCATTTTATATGATGATATGTATTAAGGTTGTCTTCCTCTCTTTATTCATGTTGGAGTTGTTAACTATAGTTGAGGCCATCTTTCACACTCCTTACCCCGAACCCCAACCAATTGTTTTATTGTTTATTTGTGCTTTTCTCGCGTGTTTGTTGTATAGACCCAGAAGGTAAATATGAGGCACTTGAAAAATATGGGAATGACTTAACTGAACTTGCGAGACGTGGTAAACTCGACCCGGTTATTGGACGTGATGATGAAATACGGCGATGCATCCAAATATTATGTCGTAGGACAAAGAACAACCCTGTTATCATTGGTGAGCCAGGAGTCGGGAAAACTGCAATTGCTGAAGGGTATGATCTCAAATAATTTGCATTTGCGGAGTCTAATGATATGCTAGTTGCCTTTCATGTATGTAAGGGTGTTTCGAATTGTATCCTGAGAACGCAGTGTATAATTTCACTTCTTTCCCAGCTTTTTTCTATAATATTTTGTGTTTCTTTTAGGAATGTAAGAGATCTTAAGTAATTTAATTTTGATAGAAGATACGGAATACGTCAAGAGTTGGCATTTACATGGCATTCTGCAGACTCACCTTTATGTTTCCAGTTGTAAATAGGATAATTTACAAAAAAAAAAAAAAAAAGGAAGAAGAAAGAAAGAAAGAAATTGATCTACTTCAATCTCTTCTGTTGCATTACAAGAACACGGGATGAGTGTGCAGGCTGAAATTAGGAGAAAGATTGAAATTTATCCACTGTCAATTATAATAGTAAAGTGAAAATGAGAAAAACTGTCTAAGATTGTCTTTTTCAGATTATATTTCGGTCTCTTTTTATCTTCTTTCATTTCCTTGTGAACTCAGAAACTAAGATAGATGAGAAAAACGTTTGCAGGACTAACGAAGCAGAAACTTTAGCTGGAATAAGGTCTCTTGGTAGCAGATATATGAACTAGGGTGGAAATTGCTAAAAAAAGGATTTCAAAACTAAGTGGCTCAACCGTTACTGAAACAGTGTTGTACTGACTGTATGAATTGTATTTGTAACGAACAATAAAAGAAATCGACATAGCTGCATTTGTTAATAAAATCCAATCTTGGTTCTCTAGCTTCTGTACATGTTTTTCGCCTTATACTGTTATAAGCCCTTAGCAGGTTATTTAGTTGTGTGCTTGGATGTAGAGAACTAATTGTTACCGTAAGTTATGGGGAGGGTACTGTGGGTATTACCAGGTGGATGTCAAAGAATAAAAGGGGGTAGAGTTACATTTCAAGCATTTTTGGAGAGACTAGAGTGAAGTGAGAGAGTGGCAGATCCCTCGAATATTCTGCCAATTCTTTTATTTTCATTTTTCATTTTCAATTCGGCAATATAACATCAATCATCATTCTGTTCAATTGCTTGGGATCTTAAACTGAAATTGCCTGTATTTTTCAGTTTAGCTCAGCGAATTGTCCGTGGAGATGTTCCAGAACCTCTATTGAATCGGAAGGTTATTTTCCCCATCACTTATTGTTTATTGCATATGGATAGTCTTGTCTCTTGAAGATTTATCGTAGCAATTTATCCAAGATGATGCTAGTTTATCTTAGGTTATTAATGTAACTTCTCCAATTTAATAATCTATTGTAGGCTTTAATGATCACTATGTTCTTGATAAGGCAGTGTATGGCAGTTTGTCTGTTACCAAATATTTTCGCTGAGATTTTTACGTAAAAGTTTGTCTGGCAATTGTTTCTTGTGACTCTGCATAACACGAGTTTGGCAGTCTCTTTGCCATTAATGAAGTGGCTAGTCTCAAAAATTATTTGTTGTGATTCTACATTTGTTGTTTGAAGTCAATGTATATGCATATTGTAAGTTCAACAGGAACAAGTTTTGTTCGAAATATTTTAGTGCTGGGAGCATTTGAGTTCGTTTTAAATCTTAATCAGTAGTTGGTGTTGAAATTTCTGTATAATCTTCAAGGTATCACCAATTAGCTCTACAAGGGAGGTGAAGTTCGTAACTGAAACTGTGATCTAGTAATAATTTTACTGAGGTTCATTTATAAGAGTTATTGGAATTTAGTTGGTGATAAGTAGTCCTACTAGCTAAACACACTTTATTTCAGATCTCTTGTTTTTTTTTTTATGTTTTTAACCTGTTTTTAGGTAATCAAATGGGTATTTTCATTATTAGTTGAGCTCAAGTATTAATTGTTTGTATCTGGTCATTTGAGATTTACTCCTCCATCTTCTCATTTTGCATGGTTCTAATTTAACGTTGGGTTATTGTGTTTGTATAACCAGTTGATCTCTCTGGACATGGGTTCTTTGCTTGCTGGTGCCAAGTATCGTGGAGATTTTGAGGAAAGGTTAAAAGCTGTATTGAAGGAAGTTAGTGCTTCAAATGGACAGATTATTCTGTTTATAGATGAGATTCACACTGTAGTGGGTGCAGGTTGAATTAAATTTTCTACTTTAGAGAATCTTTCCTGTGTATAAGTTTCATATCCTGATTAGTTGTTTTATTTCTGTCAATGATGGTAAACTATAATTTCTGTTTAGGGGCTACTGGCGGAGCTATGGATGCTGGAAATTTGTTGAAACCTATGCTTGGTCGGGGGGAACTCAGGTGCATTGGGGCAACTACACTAAATGAATACAGAAAGTACATTGAGAAGGACCCTGCGCTAGAGCGTAGGTTTCAACAAGTATTTTGTGCCCAGCCATCTGTGGAAGACACAATTTCGATCCTGCGTGGATTGCGCGAACGATATGAGCTGCATCATGGGGTCAAGATATCAGATAGTGCTCTTGTTTCAGCAGCAATTCTTTCAGATCGATACATTACTGAGCGTTTCCTACCTGACAAAGGTAGAACATAGCTTTATTTTCCAGATTTTGAATTGTTTTTTCTAGAAATTGTCGTTTTCGTATTCATTTATTTACTTACTGAAAAGCCTTTATTCTTTAAAGTTGCAGGGGGTTTGGGGATGGGGTGGTGATTAATGAAGAGTATCATTGGAGGTCTAAATGCTAGTGTCATATTCCAAATGTCCGTTGATGTTTCATATAATAACAAGATTTTTGTTCTTGCAGCCATTGACCTCATTGATGAAGCTGCTGCAAAATTAAAAATGGAGATTACTTCCAAACCTACTGAGTTGGATGAGATAGATAGAGCTGTTCTGAAGCTAGAGATGGAAAAGCTATCCCTGAAAAATGACACGGACAAAGCTTCTAAAGAGCGGTTGATCAAGCTGGAACATGATTTGGTATCTCTTAAACAAAAGCAAAAGGAGCTAAATGAACAGTGGGAAAGTGAGAAAGTTCTTATGAATAGAATACGATCAATTAAAGAAGAGGTAATATTCTCTTTTCAGAATCTTGCGAGGATATTTTTTTTTCGTACTATCAGACTGACTTTCTGAAATTGGTTATGTAGATTGACAGAGTCAACCTAGAGATGGAAGCTGCTGAACGAGAGTATGACCTTAATCGTGCTGCTGAACTTAAATATGGAACCCTGATGTCCCTTCAGCGTCAGCTTGAGGAAGCTGAAAAGAGCCTCACTGATTATCGAAAGTCTGGGAAGTCATTACTAAGGGAGGAAGTTACAGATCTTGATATTGCTGAAATTGTAAGTAAGTGGACTGGCATACCATTATCAAATCTCCAGCAAACTGAGAGGGAGAAGCTTGTCTCCTTAGAAGAGGTCCTTCACAAAAGGGTTATTGGTCAGGACATGGCAGTCAAATCTGTAGCTGATGCAATAAGACGTTCTAGAGCTGGCCTGTCTGATCCAAACCGGCCTATTGCAAGTTTTATGTTCATGGGACCCACTGGGGTTGGTAAGACTGAGCTTGCAAAAGCCCTTGCTGGATACCTTTTCAACACTGAAAATGCTCTTGTGCGGATCGATATGAGTGAATACATGGAAAAACATGCAGTTTCCCGGTTGGTTGGTGCACCGCCAGGTTATGTTGGTTATGAAGAAGGTGGGCAGCTGACAGAAGTAGTCCGCCGAAGGCCTTATTGTGTTGTGTTGTTTGATGAAATCGAGAAGGCACATCACGACGTTTTCAACATCCTTTTACAGTTATTAGATGATGGAAGAATAACAGATTCACAAGGGCGAACAGTTAGTTTCACCAACACTGTTGTGATTATGACATCAAACATTGGATCTCATTATATCCTTGAAACCCTTAGAAGCTCCCAGGATAGCAAGGATGCAGTTTATGATGTGATGAAAACTCAAGTGGTCGAGTTAGCGAGACAAACTTTCAGGCCAGAGTTCATGAATCGGATCGATGAGTACATTGTTTTCCAACCTCTGGACTCCACTCAAATCCGAAAAATCGTTGAAATCCAGGTAACAAAGCCTTGTCATCAAGACTGTTAAATTCCTTTTGAACTCTACAATTATCTTCTTTAAAGTTACTTTTAAATACTTTTCTTTTGGTGCCGATAAGTTTTCTGATTGCCTCAACATGGCATCATCTGTGGAACAATATGAAGTAGAAAAAACTCTGTTATATGTACATGCGTGGACGTATAATTCTTTACACCCTCGATAATAAAAAAGTGAACATGTCATGGTAAGCAGTACTTGGCTGTTGTTATGAACTTTTTTTGTTTTCTAAATACTTGTTTGCCAGTTTCCATGTTATTTGATTTTATTTTCTTCGTTGAAGATGTTCTTTTTCATATTTTGCAGTTGTTTTGTCAAGTGTTGCTTGATTCTATAGTATCATAGCATGGATTTTTGTCTATTTTATTTTAATTATGCTAATTTTTATTATAATCATCAAGAATAAAATGTTTTCATGTGGTTCACTAACATTATTAATATATTGTGACTGCAGCTTAATCGTGTGAAGGACAGACTTAAACAAAGGAAAATTGATTTCCATTACTCAGAGGAAGCTGTCAATCTTCTTGGAACGTTGGGCTTTGACCCTAACTTTGGAGCAAGACCTGTGAAGCGGGTGATTCAACAGATGGTTGAGAATGAGATTGCAATGGGAATCTTAAGAGGGGACTTTAAGGAAGAAGACTCGCTTATCATTGATGTCGTCCCGGGTGGAAAAGACCTCCGTCCCCAAAATAGATTGTGCATCGAGAAAATTGAAAATTATGCCATGGTTGCCAATGACTAGTATTTCGTTCTTTTGAGGTGTGAATAAGAGAATGGACGACGAATTCAACTCGTGGTGATTCTAAACAACTGTGCTCCTTGGTATTTAGGTGAACCTGCATCATATTCTAACGTCTCTTCATGATGATGAGTATTAAGTAAT